AGGCCACCTCCATAGTGAAATGGGTGTGACAATGCTTGCAGGCAAGATGACCCCTATGCATGTCATGGACCGGATCGAAGGGAAAACTATCTGGCCTATGGACATCATGATACTTCCGGAGGTGGCTGATGAGGGCTTTTCGGCCTACGTAGTCTTGACACAATGGGCATCTATATATCTTTGCTGGCTCCGGGCAGGGTCCATCAGGATGAGAAGCGAGCATCAATTTCACTGTGACCTTGGCAGGGCGAGGGTCGGATCCCGATGGGACAGATGTGGACTGGTCAAGTGGACGATCCATCTGAGCATGCTTCGGATGCTTTTGATGATGAGTGATCAGTCCTGTCTCGGTCAGGAAGGTGGTATTACAAGCAAGACATTTGAACAATGGGGTTGTTCGAGCAATTTGACCAGCCCCTTCGGTGTCGGCATCAACCTCCATCGGAATCGGCCGTGTGTCGGATTGAGGCGCCAGGGGGGCAGCTTCACTGGGAGTCTCGGGCTTGTCTGCATTTCCTATACCTGAGGACGGTCGGTTGGCCCGAAGCGGACGCATCATAGTGGGCATGACAGGAAAATGCGAAACATCATATGTCTGTCCAAGCAGAATGCTAATCTGAAGCAAGACTCCACATTGATGTGTGCGTACATCATTGCATTGTTGAGCGCACGAGACACACGTGCCTTTTCCACTACCTAGATTGGCAAGGCCATACACTTGATCGCGATGCAATGCTTCGTAAACCAAAAGACCTTGATGTCGTTCTCCATAGTGTTTGCGAATGGAGCGAGCAGGCACGGCAAGGTGACAAAAGACACAATGGTGTGCAATTTCACAGACCAGGGCTTTGTCCAGTAAAATACCTGGGATGGATTTGTAGCGCAAATGCATTCTCAATGACTGGCGGTCAGCAATCGGCACGATGGTCTCCTTGTGCGGATCAAACTGGATACAAACTCTGGCATTGATGTGATATCTAAGGCGATATATATCAGCTAATTGCTTATGACAGTGTCTACAGGTTGCCTTCCCTTCATATGAATCACGCAGGGGATCAAACAAATCTTCGATGTGGCAGGGAATCTGGTGTGCAGTACGCATATGTCGTTTCCAGGGTCCTGCCTGATGAAAAGCTCGATCACACTCTGGACATTTGAGTTCAGGTGCCTGAGAGAACTTCAGGTGCCTGAGAGAACGAGGGTGAAGCCGTGGGTTCATGTTGTAATTGGTTGTCAGGGTATGCTGGGGTCAAAACGCAGATATCTTGCTGACCAGTCTGCATGGCTTCACGGATCAGGATTTCACGACGTCGACTCAGGGAGTCGTTCAGACGAGTTTGTTGTCGAACAAAATAGCACCATAAAGGTTCAATGTGCATACGTGAATAGAAGGCAGTGTTGGTTTCACGGGTGAGGTGCACAGGGGATCTGGTCATGGTCCTATGATGTCTGGTGATCACGCCATTGATCATCTGAAAACTGCGAGTTGAAATCCCCATCTCGTGGATGCCATATGAGACTGTGGGTAAAACACATTGGTTATACAACCGAAGACGAATTGACAATGGATGATGCTGATCCAGGAGCCATTTCCTCAAGATGCGGAAGCAAACATTTGCAGCTTTGACTCTGCGAACAACGGTGTCGTGATCGAATGCTCGATAGCTCAATGTGACACCTAGGTAGTCTGTCCTACTGACAAGAGGAAGGCTTAAGGATTGATCTGGCAGGTGCAAACGAGGTCCTTCTTTTGTTCTCGACGTCCATCGTTTCAAAAACGCCTGAGCGGACTTTCCCACAAGGCGAATAATGGCAACACTTTTGGTCAGATTGACCCTGAAATGGAAAGCCTTGAGCGTACCCAGCACCACAGTTAGATCATGTAGGGCCGACAGGCCCGAGGCCGAACTATCTATGAGCCACCTGAGGTGAATGTCGTCTGCATAGATGACAATGTGGGAAATGATCCAAGGCAGATCGAAACTGGCCATCAAGTGGTCGAGGAGCAGGTACATACTCAAGGTCCACAGCAAAGGGGCATCTTTGGACCCCTGCTTTATACCCCGGCTGGCTGTGACGTATCCGATTAAATCTTTATGGGGTATGCAGTACTTATGTTTGTGTTGCCATGACTGAACTAGGAGTTGAAGGTCTGGGTTCATCTCGAATCGTTGGATGGCTCGAAGTACCAAGTTTCTGTCAATGGCATCAAAAGCCTTCTCAAGATCGAGTGATACCTGGAGGCCACCCCACAGTCCAGACTTAGAAGGATCACTCTTGTGGTTCTGGCACAGTGCTTTGACCTGTCGACAGTGTTCAGAAGTCAGCAGGAGACAGTCCTGTGTGCCGCGGTGCGGTAGGTAGGCATACAGGGGAACCCGGCAAAGGGATGGAAGTACGTGTTCTAACACTTGTTCACAATGAATGCCCGAAAGTATCTTACTGACTGGGTGCTGAAGACAAATTGGTCGAAGCGCAGCAGGATGATTGGGAGGTTTATTGGGCTTACTGAGGAGATGCAGCCATCCAGTGGCCCAACGTGAGGGGGGAATTCCCGACTTAGTCCAGGCACATTCGATGGCGGGGTAAACAACTGCTGCAATGTCGTGTGCGAAGACTTTCCAAATCAATCCTGGCATCCCATCCGGAGCAAGTGCCTTCGTAGCAGGAAGTTTGGAGAAGCCCATTGCAACCTGATCCTGAATGAATGGGATGGAGTTCAACGGAGCAGGTGCTAACTCAAAATGCTCATCATGGAACATTGTGCCAAAGTGATCAACAAGGACAGCTAGTTCCTGGTGCGGAAGAAGAGGGGCGCCAAACCTATCATGCAATTGTATCTTACGAAAAGGCTGCTTAGGACAGAGTTTACGGATGTTGCGATACCAATCGTGCATGCGATTAAACAAAGCATGGGGAACATTCTCCTTCAAGAATTGTTCAAGCTTGAGTCGTTTATTGATCTTACCAAATTTACGAATCTGAGCATGCAAACGCGCAAAGATGGTGAGGTGTTTCCAACTGTGGAATAGGGTGCGAACATGAACGTACAGAACCTGTCTAGCCTGTCGACGTGCATGCCACATACGGGCCGTGAGGGATACCACAGTCTTGTCAGAAGAAAAGTGTTTTTTTCTGACGAGGAAAATGCTCAAGACACAATTCTCTAAGATCATGTTCCATGGAATAGCAATTTTCAATCGGACAGGTCAGTCTAGGTGACTGATGTCTGAGGATACAGCTCTGGGCTGCCATGACAAAATGTCTCCATGCTGTTGTGTCAACGATCATCTCCTGTCGAATTCGAAACCGATCGATAGAAACAAATTTCGAAGGAGCGGATCTGATCGGATGCCACCGGGGAAGGCTAAGGAGTAACGGACGATGTTGTGGTCCCTGATGCAAACCAATGCGCTCAAACCGACAGTCAATTGAAGCAGTTATGTGTTTCCACCTAATCTGATTGGATCGCATGAAAGCGAAGTCTATTCGGGTCTGATGGCTACCATGCAGAAAGGTGGGTACGTATTTCTGCTTGCAATGAACGGCAACCAAGGATAATTCACGAATCATGAGTTGGAAGTCATGTTTATCGGTTTGGAGTGCCTGTTCAAAGCGTGGATCATGATTGCCAATGGATTGCGAATCGCGTTGTAGCGGACAATTGAAGTCCCCTATAACAACCATCATGTGGCTTTGAGGAGTATGGTGAGTACACTGACGGAGTTTCCCCCACAGGTCCTGCCTTTCTTGTAACAGGGCACGGCTTGACTTGGTCGTGCTCCAGGCCGTCTGATATATTATGTACACATCATGGACCCTGTCTAGTATCAAGCGAAGATACAACAATCTGCCTGGAATCAACACTGCATACGCCAACACTGCATACGCCAACATGGATGCTCGGATCAAAGTTTTGCGGACCATGATAAGTTGGCTTGCAGCGGCCTCTTGAGAGTGAATGCAATACAATGTTCAATTTCCCATTATCTATTGAACTTCCAATTAGATTCTTAAATCAAGAGTACATCCTCTGGTCGGCCCGTGATCCAGGCTAACCATTCATAGTAACTCAAACATCTTGTGGCATTCCAGGAGAGAATCTTCAGAACAACACCAGATTGTTGTGCAACACCAGATTGTTGTGCCGATCGAGATTGAGGTTGCAGTGTTGACCTCTGTATTTCAGCCTTCAAAAGACCTCGCAACCGAAATGGCACGTCGGATTCTATGAAGCATCTGCCATGGTAACTAGTGTGTCCAGCTTGTAATATACAATTGCATGCCCTGCGAAACGAACGCTTAATACGCCTTATTCGAGACTGGTGCACCAACTGGCCGTAGCCAAACATCGCCCAGATTTCACTGGCTTTCGTACATGTCTTAGTAGGTGCATAGGAATGCATCGCACTTTCGCCAACCCATAAAGAAAAGTTGGCAACCCTCACGCCAAGCTCGAATCCTTGTGGTAAAAAGGATGGAACATTAGGATTCAAGCCTCCCGGACTTGGAACCGGGAGATCCAGTTCTATGGACATCTGGTGGATCAAAGCAGCTATGGTGAATATCTAAAAGAACCCCATGCCAATCTATAGAAGGAAAACCACAAGATCCATAGCAGTTAGCCCCCCAAACGCGACCGCGGACACTTGAACTGGAAATGGCGCTTTCCTTATATATAACAAATACTTTCATCATATTCAAAAACATAACAATCGACCCAATATATCGACTACCAATATTTATTGCTCCATTCATTCGTCATAAATCATCCATATATTTTTTTAAATAATTATATAATATTAATATAACCAAACCAATAGAAAATACGAACATATATTAAAAACCATTTTTTTTAAATAAAAAATCAAACATTTTAAACATAATTATTTATCAATTTCATATATATTAGAATATTTTATATTATATATATATATATAAACAATATTTTATATTTTGAATAAAGATTATATCAATATTATTAATGTTTATTACAAATCTTTTCTATTTAAAGACCATGCATTCTAATTCGCCTCAGAAGGAATCACTTTGGATATTGAATAAAAATATTTAGCATATCTTTGATGCTTCAAATATGTTTCATGTGTGTTGGAAAATATGTTGAGAATTTTTGGTTGACGTTATCCTTTACTGTATTTTTCTTGCCTGTTGTGTGTTGGCCTTTGCTTTCTTCTTCTTTCCCCTCCTTTTTTGTCGGGGTGCCTTTTCTGAACGTCTTCAGATAGTATTGTCCCCAACTTTCTGGAAAGGCTTGTTGCACTTGCTCACAGGGAACCATGCGAAATGCTCCCACGCCGCTTCTCTATCCGTCTGAGGTGCTGAAGAAGCCCATTGGCATGGGCACAGCCAACCTTGGTTTTTGCTGCAGAGCTCACATAGGAAGACTAATGACTAGTATCTATGGGTGCCCAGACCAAAGGCAATGCAGGATCACCTGCATATGTATTTTAGGATTGATGAGCCTCCAACCTACCCATAACCGTACGAAAATTACCAAGATACTTGAATGGTGTTCAATCGTTGACCCCAACACAAACCCTGGAATTGCCGAAAGTGTCTTGCCATACCCTGGGCTTTCTCTGCTCGTTCCCTTATGACGCTGTTCTCCGCTGCTCCACGTCCTGACAGGCCAAGCGACGACCACCACCACGCGGTGACAGGTGCTGGACACCGATCGCACCTGTGGACGGACGGTCACGCTGCACCGGAACGGAGAGCCCGACAGCCACGCGAATAACAGGGAAGGCTATAGGCTCTGTGAGGCGGAGGGCGAGGGCGATTCGGCTAGGTGCCTCACAGCCTGTGCACAGAAGCGACTGGGTGTCAAAAAGTGGTTTTGCCTTGAATCACCACAAACTTTTGCGGATGACTCGTTGGTGGGCTTGCTGTCCCCCAAAACCTGTGATCAAACAAGCCAGAGCTACCACCACAAATACACGAGAACACATTACTCAACAAATTGCTACAAACACATCTGCATGATTCGTTGCAAACAACCACATGCAACACGATGCTACCATCATGTTGCGCGGTGCTGTCTTGATTTCCGGCCCAACTGGCATCTCATGCAAATTCGCATGTCACCAGTGCACACAATTCCTCACATTCTTGCTGGAAGCTTGATGGAAAATGATGGAACCTTCGAAGTCCGGGCGGTGATTGCACACCATGACAGATCGTCGAATGGGCTTCCTTTTTTCTGCTTTGACAATAATTCTACACGTGGAACTACACCATAGATACATATAGATACATGCGAAGCTTTTCTCGGGCCAACTAGCGGTCTGTAAAAGACACTTCTCGATTTGTGCGTGTCATCTTAGATGAACTGCTATCGACTTCATGAGTACTTGTGTTTCTTCCAAGCACTCCTCCTTTGAGTGGCTGAGTTGGAAATCACCACTCAACCATTTTCTAAAGGGTCCAACTTCACCTCTTTTCATGGGTAGAAGTTGTGGACATGATGCACTGATCCTTGCATCATTTCTTGCATTTCGGCCATGAGTGCACGATTCCCGTTGCGATGGCCGTGGAACCAATTCGCTTCCATCTTTAGAAGCTCTTCCCTCGAAACTAGATCAGCCCTATTGTACGCTCTGTTAAAGTGAGCGTACTGCCCATCAGGAATTTTGATTCCCTCAGGCTCCCAGGCAGCATCAACTACATCTGGAGGGCTGTCTTCGCTGCCCATGGACTCATCTCTCACTTCTTCTTCTCCTGGACTCGGCTCTGGCTCTCTCACTGGCGATGTCGTCGCCTGCATTCCACTTGGGCTCTCCTCTCTGGGCTCCACATACTCCACCGGGACCTCCACGATGCGTCCTTGGTCCAGGACAATCACTGCTGTGGCTCCACTAAGCCCTGGCTCTCCTGGGTCCACATCGATGTTGACAATGCCATATCCAGGTGGTTGGTCTCCACGTTCTGCTTGGATGGTTTCCATTTTACTCCACCTCTTTCGCAGCTTCAAGCCATCATGCCACCTGTTGACCTCCTCCAGGTAGTGCAAGCTTTGCCACTCAAGCCGCTGGACTGAGGCATCTTCGACATGGCCTCCTGCAGTGATCAATCCTCTATGCACCCTCTCCACGTAGTCAGCTGTCATAGAATTTTCTCGATCTTGTTGTTCGACAGCTTCTCGATGGCTTTTGGAATCCATCTCGATGCGGTTGATCAGGAAGATCACTCTCTTTTCCAGTGCTTGCACCTTGTTCCAAAGGATCACGATGGCAAACATCAGAAAGCCGAGGATCACCATGAGGACCATCCAATGGAAGGGGATCGTGAAGTTCACCTCCATATAGCTCTCTTCCAGCTTCGAACCCGCGGCCAGCTCAAGACCGCTCAACAGAATGATGCGATTGAGGTATTTGGCCACTTTCATGATCTTGCCCTTCTCGATGTGAGTCCTCTCAAAGTCCTGGTGCTCCTGCTCTCCGACTCGGCTGCCATCTTCGTTCATGGCATGGCACCAAAACAGAAGTAGACGAAGTCTGGCTTTCGAGAGGGGTTTGGTGCCGATATCAGCCAGGTTGAGCACAGTGCTGATTTGCTTCACCTCCATGGAGCCGCTGGCAACTCGATCCTGGCACCACAACAATTTTCCACTAACGTGGCGCAAGCGTCCAGCACCACGCTTGTTGGCGATTTGTTTTGTGGCAGAGTTGTCAACCCAGCAAACATGATGTACCGAGTCACCGGTGAGGAACTCTAGGGCATGTTTGATGCAGATGCCATCACATGCTCCAGCAACCAAGGCGTGTAGCTCACTCTCCGCCGACGATAGGCTTACCACCTTCTGACCTCTTGAGGTGTTGTAGATGACAATGCCATTCAAGCCATGGATGGATGAGGATGTGCTCCGTCGTGTTGCTCTATTGCCACTCCAATCAGCATCCGTGAATGTCTCCAACAGCCACACCTCATGGCTATGCCCATGTAGACCTTCTCCTTGAACCGGCAGGGGAAGCAAGATGTGCTGTCCTTCCGTCTCTTTGAGATAGCCCACCAGTCTCCGTGCCTTTTGCATAGCGAGCTCAGTGGGACTTGACATCTTGCTTGCCAGCTCCTTCACCACGAAACTGATATCCAGTCTCTCCTGGGCGAGGTAAATGCCCATGCCCACGATGGATCTGTAGATCGCTGCATCCTCCTGTGGCACCACATTGGATCCGTCGGCATCCTGTATCTCTGAAGTGGCTGGGAGTCGCTGCTTGCGAACTATGCCATACTTCTCTTCAAAAGCCTTGACCATCTTCATGGCATATTGTCCTGGCCTCACCAATAGGCCTTCTGGCACGTAGGTGTACTTGCGCTTCAGGAATGAGAACTCCTCATTGTGCTCCTTGATCATGGAGACTTCAACATCAAACTTGTCCTTCAACCTCTTCACGAAGTTCTCCACAGGGATCTGGCGTCCAGTGAACATCACGTCATCAACATGTACCAGGACGCAAACCAAACTGCTTCCGGTGCCTTGCTTTCCCAAACATGGATTCACCACATCGAAGGTGAACGAAAGCTCCTTCTCCAGGTATTCCCGTAAGAATTCATACCAAGCTTTGGCACCGATTCTTTGGCCGGGGATGTTCTTCAAGACCTTGTAGTAACCGGTGGCCGTGGTGATTTGCAATGGTCGCTCCTGAGGCACCTGCAGGAAAGCATCCTTGATGTCCAGTGCTCCAAGAATCGGTGGTCCTTGATCTCCAAGACCCTGACTCATCACCACATTGTTCAAGAACAGTGCAGGGAGCAATCGGAGAACATGCTGTCCTGAAGCGGGGCTGTAGACCTCGTCACACTTGTCATTTGCATACTCCCGTGCAACCAGTCGTGCTCGACGAAGCCATCTCTTCCTCAACCCTCCATCGGCTTGCACGTAGTTCTTCATCCGCCAATCATGGACAAATCTGGTCGTCAATCGATCCAGGTGTGCTTCATCCGCAGTGAGGGGCTCTAGCACTTTCATTCTCATCAGCCTCTTCTCTTCCACCTTATTGGCCAAAAGATCGACCTCGATGTCCGGCTCTGGGGGTGTCCTTGTCAAAAGATGATCACTCCATAGCCCTTCAGGAATTGTGCCATGCTCCAAATCCTCGAGGTCGTCTGCTTCCTCCTCAATGTCCATGGCCTCGACATCAAGAACCTCATCCAGGTGGTACATTGTGTCCTCTCCAACGCACACCTTCTCGATCCTCCTCTCGACCATCTCCTGGTGCTGCGATGAACTTGATCCACTTGTAGGTCCATCTAGTCGAGCTCGTTTGGCCTCTGGTTCAACCTTGACTGCTGCTTCTGGAGGCGGGAGCTTCTTCAGGATTCTCCCTTCAGGAGGCATTTCAACTGCTTCCTTCTCCCATGGCAGTGGTTCAAAGACCATTGGAATATCTCCTCCTGCGCCCCTTTCCCCAGGTTGATCACCAAGAGCTGGGGGAGTTTGCAGTCCTTCTCTCTGCTCAGCGAGTTGCGGGGCTGATGGTGCTGGTCCTCCAGGCTCATCAGTCAATGTTCGTCCATCAGGTTCACGAGCTTCTTCGATCTCTCTTTGGCTTTCCTCTAGCCCTTCCTTTGACTTTGCATAGCGCTCTACCTCCTCTGCCTCCTCATCTCTGTATCGAAAAATGATCTCATCACGAGGTGGTGCAGGTCCTAATTGAAGGGGTACTGCACTGGCGGCTCTCTTGCTCGGAATGATGCGGCCACCAAAGTTGATCTGGTACTCGAAGGTGTGAGTGGCAAAGTTTTGGTAGTAGGCGCCAAAGTTCCTCCAGGGTCGGTCAACCCTCTTGACAGATCTGGTGAGCATCACCTGACTTCCATCGCCCACTATCCATGCATCTTGGCCTTCTGTTTTGCCCAGGAACAACGTCATCCTCCATCTTGGATTGCCCTTGCCAGACTGTGGCTTGACAAAGGCGTACACCGGGCATCCAAAGGGAACCAAGGCACCAGTATAGGCCTTGCCATGCACCAACTCATGGCTTGTGGTCCCTCTCGTGGCTTGGAACTTGTTCAACAGCCAGCATGAGTGCCTTGCAGCCCAACTCCACAACCCATGGTTCGTGTTGAACTGCAATCCAGTCTTGGTCGCAATCTCCCGCATCAGGGTGCACGCAAGTCCACGAACTCTCTGTATGGCGTTCTCTGCCAAGGAGTTTCCAGCTGAATCTTTGACCTTTGTGGTGTACAATCTTGTTCGAAGACCCATGGCGTGCCGGCTGTTCAACAAAATCCTCAGCACTGAACGAATCGTGGGCTCGTTGTCTCCATAGAGCCCAATTTCCACATGGCCGAGGGTCTGCACAAAGTTCATGATCTCCCGAGCCATTAGGTTCAGCTGTCCCTTCGACTGCAATGGCACTGCTCCCAAACTTCCCGTTTGACTGCAGACCATGATTAGCCACAGTGCCGGTTTCAGCTCTCTGATGCGAGGTTCATGTGGGCCTTCTTGCTCATCACGATCATAGAGATCAATCACCTCTCCATCTTCTGGATCTTGGCCACGGTCTCTTGGAACTGGGGCTCTGTCGATCTCTCCCGCTTTCGTGTAGGCGAAGTCCAGCGAGATGATTGGGATTCCTCCAGTATGTGCTGCTCCAGTCCTCAAGTGTCGGTCAGGTCGTCCTCTATGCTGTAGGCAGGCCTCGCACCAAGGTTGGTATGGCACGTGTGTCAAAGCATGAAGTTCTTGCACCTGTTTGGACGGCACTGGCACGATGCTCTGCATCTTCGGCTGTCTTGCCATCTGCAACTCTGCTGCTGCCACAGCTTCAGAAGCGGCTTTGAGTTCACGCTCCTTCAAGTGGCTCACAATCCTCTGGAAACACTTCAAGCGGCTTCCTGACTGGCTAATGCCAAAGAAATGGCATGCAGCACGTAGCTCTCGAAGCTTGCTGGTGGACGTCAACTGAATGTCGTTCACCACCACATGATCTGGTAGACCAGCTTCCAACACCAGTCGTCCTTCTTGCTCTTCAGCTCCTCCTCCATCAACACCCTCTGCAATTGCAGGAATGTCATCATCTGCAGCCTCATCCATGGCACGTTGCGGCTCTTCCTCTGGGATCTCATGTTCCCTCAAAGCCAAAGCATCATCCACCTTTGGCTGCAAGTCCAGACCAGTGTCCACCTCGAAGCCCATCTCCTCGGTGCTCATGTCTTCTGCAGTGAGGATCGTTAAAACCAGGGTGTTCTCTTCGACAGCGTCAATGACCTCCTCCTGGTTATCCAAACCATGCAGATTCTCACACATTTCATAAAGCTGCCACTGGTCCTTCACCTTCACGAGGGTAGTCCTTTTCCAATCTGTCGTGAAAGGAATCTCTCCCACGAATTGTGGGGTCTGAAGCCTCTTAGCCAAGTGGACACCATACCACTTGTTCTCCTCCTGCTTCCAACCGACTTGATACCTCGCCTTCAACTGGAGGTCATCCTTCAACCGAGCCTCCAAGACTCTAACCATCATGGGCTCGTTCTGCTCCTCCACCACCGCTCGTAGGTGACCTTCAGCAACAAGGCTCCTGTTTTGAAGCTGCAATGGGATCCTCACAACACTGTTACCCTGACCAAAAGTCATGCAATGCTGGCTCCCATCATCACGTCCGGCCTCGATGTTCCAGCCTGCTTCCATGAGCTTGCCATAGGAGATGATTGGCTGGTTGATTTCATCTGAAAAGTGGGCCTTGTCGAAGATCTGGACTTCTCGCTCTCCATCGGCCTGAAAGATGAAACAGACCTGTTTGTACCCGCGAACTGCAATGGGTACCCCTTGAGCATCCTGCAACCGTGGGGCTCCTTCACAAAGATCCGTGCCAACATCCAAAAACGAACTCGGCAGGATCGTGGCGTCAGCACCTGAATCAATGATCACACTCACCGGGCCCCCACTCTCCATGCCATGGTGCTGCTGCGTCACAGTCATGATGTTGTAGGTCAGCTTGTCTTCATCGTCATTGGGCTCAATCTCTTCAGAGATGGAGAAGAACTGGACCATCCTGACCTGTTTGTTGTCCAGGCTTGCCATTGACATTGGCCGTAGATCGAAGATCATGGGCTCATTCTCGAATTCCGGGTGTGAAACCTCCTGGACTCTCTTGACCGTGCCCGATTTCCAGCTCGTGCTCTGGCTGGCAGTGGTAGGACTTGATGCAACCGTTCCTGTCTCTGCATTGGCCTTGGCATTGGTGGTCTCCTCGCTGACTTGCCTCAAGCGCTGCCAGCAATCTTTCGAGATATGGCCAGCTTTGCCACATGTGTAGCAGACCTTGGAGTCACCTTTTCCTTTCTGGCCCTTCTGACCTTCACCTTTGCCAGCTCCTTTCGATTGACCTTTGCCTCCTGGATCTGGTTGCTTGCCATAGCCCTTGGTCTTGGACTTGCCCTTCACATCGCCTTTGCCCTTGCCTTTCCGCTCATAGTCCTTGCCCTTGCCCTTGGATTTGGAGTAGTCACCACCTTTTCCTTTGATGCGGTCGATCTCCATGGGGATGGCTCCATCAGAGCTTCCGGGTTCAGCTCCAAGCATCATCACATTCGTCCATTTCATGGTGGCGTTGTCATACTGTATGATCGCCTCCCTCAGCTTCTGATAGTCCTGGGACTCCGCCACATTGAGTTGTAGCCAGGTCTTCAATTGGCCTCCGATGCACCTCATGAGGACAGCAAAGCGGATGTTGTCCTCCAACTTCGAGCCCGTCTTCTCATATTCAACAAAGGCCTCTTCGAGGCGGAGGACCTGGCCCAAAATGCTTCCCGTCCGCATTTCGAAGGGCTTCCACTCCAGGATCATAGTCAAAAGGCCGAGGGCGCGATTTTTCGATGCTGGTTCCAAGCTTTGCACCAGCAATCTATAGGCTTCCATGCCGTTGGACTCCTTCACCTGGCGTAGCATAGCCAGCGGGCGCTGCTTCACCAAAGACGCCAGCAGCGAGTAGAGGAACTTACTTCTCTGCTTCTCCTCATCAGATTGGATGCTGGGGTCGATGGGATCATCAGGTCGAGCTCGGATGTCCTTGAAGTCCCCAGTGAACATGCCATTCAAGGACGAGAGGTATTGTTCAAGGCTCCAACTAAAATCCCTCCACTGGGTGAGTTCTTCTTCTCGGTTCTTGGCGTCAAAGGTGTTGGGCTTCGGGAGCACCTTGAACCACGATTCCTCTCCAGCATTCTTCCTGGACAGGGCTTCTGCGGCCGTCTTGGCGGCAAGGGATGCCGCTTCTGCAGCTTGGATCATCCTCATCGCGAACTCCTGGCCATCCATGGCCGCTGCAGCCGAAGTCGGTGAGCCAACCGCTTCACCTTGACCAGCCATGGCCACCGAACTTCAATTCCGGGACCTCCTTGGGCTTTAGGACGTAGTCCCCACCAGCCAAGCGCCTATGGCGTCAGGCAACCAGGAGCCTCCACCGGTCCCCCAACGGGGAAGACCGGCTTCGCAGGCTCCGCTACCATGCGAAGCTTTTCTCGGGCCAACTAGCGGTCTGTAAAAGACACTTCTCGATTTGTGCGTGTCATCTTAGATGAACTGCTATCGACTTCATGAGTACTTGTGTTTCTTCCAAGCAATACACCAAATATACATTCTTCGGCTAGGGGGGTGGAGTGTTCTGGACCACCGTGTTGCCCCCGCGCCGGTGGGACTGGGGTGGGACTGGGACTGGGCACGTCCAACCGCACCCGGCTCCGGCTCCGACTCAGGCGCCCAAACGGACCCAACAGACCGACCCACCTGTGAGGCCATGGACTGGTACATGGCCTGGCCCGCTTCCGCGCGCGCGGATGTGCGGAGATCGGTGGAGGTGCCGGACGGAGGTCCGACATGGGGGTGCTGACGGGGTGCCGCCATGTCTGCCAGTATCAACAGTTCGAACGATGCCAGACCTCCAAAGAAACAGCTTTCAACTGGTTTTCTGTGCCACATGTCTGTCTCCAGCCTCATCTCTGGCCACCACCATGGCTGAGTAAATACAAGGGAGCATGTACATCTCAATGGCCAGCAGGATGTCTGAGATCACTGCCTTTGGGGAGCCCAGGCCCCCGCACATCACTGACAAGGATCTACCGCCCGTGCACGTTGGTTCAGTGGTTTGGTTCAGCAGATTTGGGAGCGCTGGCACATCTTGGATGCGAGAGTGCGGTCTAAGGGATTGCCGACAAGCAAGCGGTGTGGTCTTTCATGGTCTAAATGGCCCTTCTATCCAGGCCTCTACATAGAGCTACAAGCTTCAGTCGTGACACCCCCTCTAGCCAGTGTTCCAAGGGCCTTGTTTATGGAGGGTCTTTGAACGGCCGAATGGCGACTTGAAGGGGATTGGCCCAAGTCAGGGTCGCGGATGGCCACACCGTTGCAGTCAATTGCGCTGCCCTAGCTCGTCCCATGACGGATGCTTTGATCGATGGACCAACCTCCGCTCCATACATCTTCTAGATCTTTTAGATCTATAGGGGGTGTCAAAAAGAAAACAGCACTGCATCCCTACCAAAGTCTCTTCACCTCTTCTCTGCCTCCGCACACTTTGAGTCCTCAGACCACCTGATGAGACCTGGCTCGGCTCGTCCTCGCCTGGCGGTCCTCCGGTGACTCCGGCTTCACCACACCAGCACCCTGAACCAACGGCGCACGTCACGGAGGACCCTGAGGAACGGGGATTTGCCTGCTATTCAGGTGGAGAGGCTGGGATCCCTATTTGGTAGGACTATTCCTCAATAAAAGCAAGTTTTAACATTGTTGTGAGGTCAATACAGTATACAGTACACAACATACGAGCCCCCCCAAAATGTTCATTATTCTCCATGTTCCATCGTACTTTGAGGGTCATCCTTTCAAATGAATGTTCCCGGCGGATCCTTACCCATCGAAACTCATGTTGTAGAACAAAAAAACTTAAACGAAACAAACAACCGACCATTAACACTGGACTTCGAACTTTGCACAACTGCACAGCCTGCTGCAGTAATTACATTACTGCCCGCATACACACCAACAAACTTCAACAACTCAACAACGACTATATATAAACATATACAGTATACCTCTACCCTCAAAAAGGCAATATATTTTGGTCGTTTTGGTTTTCAGGTCGTTTGGGTCAATCTGCACGGTTTGAACCATTTCTGTAACGTTTGCATCTTTTCTGCAATGAGCAGGTCTGTAGGACACTCAGCTGATTTTCTTCAGCTGCTCCATGTACATGTACAGGCTCTTCTGTATCGTTCTCGTTGATGCCAGCAAAGGGTGGCATGATCGAGAAAGCCTTGAACACCGACCAATGAAATCTTCATCCTGCCAGCAGCCAAAACCTAGGATGCACCCATCCAAACGTATCCAAGCAACACAGTTTACCCTCTACCCTCTACATTGGTCAGGGTTGCAAAGGAATCAAGGGTATGCTAAAAGGATTTAAAAGGGATGCAAGTGACTGACAGGGTTCAAGCATCCCTGCTGACCGCCATCTCGGAGAGAGCGCACAATGTGGCATCCAAGGTGGAATTTTGGGCGCAATTTGAAGAGCTTGAGGGACTTGTCAAAACACATAGTGGCCAATCGAGCAAACCCTTCCTCAGGTCTCCAGGCTCAAAGCAACAGCAAATCATCTACTAGCTTGCCCTAGTGAACAATAGAGGCAACAAGCCATGTCTCGTTCATGTCCATTCCACATTGAAGTGCTGTTGACCGAAGATCCCCTTGTAGGAAGATGCCAGATTTCCGGCAAATCCTGAAGAAACCATTCGCGCAAGCAACTGTATACCTGGCGACACCCCAAATATCAGCCAGATCTTCAGGAAGTTGACTCAGGTCGCAATCATCAGAGTTCATAAACTCACCCAGCCAGCTCAGCACAATGGCAGTGTCGTATGCCTTGCCGCCGAGACTTGTAGGCCAGTCATTGTTCCTGAAAGGGCTGGGCAGGAGTTGGGACCAGATACATACACTAGCTGGTATGAATTCATAAGAAATTGTTGTGACAAGAGAGGTGTGAAATAGACATATTACGTTCATGGTTGGACAAAGCAAGCGTCGACTGCATGTCAAAATCCAGTTTGGAGAAACGAGCCAGGCTTGTCACCTTGTGTTGCAAGCGGCACCAGTCCATGTACATCCTGAACCCATTCTCAAGCTTGGTATTCAGGGCCCTGTCCTGGCCAAAAGCCCCCACTCTTGCACAAAGAACGATGCAAGATGCCCCCAAGTCTATACCATATCCAAGGTGGAAGCAGTGGCAATAGTCCAAACAGGCAGCAGTCGCGGTGTCACAACCAGGGATGGAAAGAAACGGGGCAGGGTCACCTGGTTTGAACGGTGAGTCCCCACTTCCAGATCGATGCCAGTCAGAGTTGTCAGTGGGATTGCGCCAATCAGTTGAACTGCAAAGGTGGCATAACCGCTTCGCTTGCCACCCTGTGGATAGGTGGTAGGCCTCAACTTTTTGGCAAAGTCATTCCTAGTTCACCCAACCCCAAACCAAGCATTACCAAAACACCCAAAAGCATTTGAGTGGTAGGCCTCAACTCTTTACAGAAGCATTCCTGGTTCACCCACCCCCAAAACCAACCATGACCAAACCACCAAAAACGTTATTGAATCCTTCAAGGAACTTTCCTGAGGAAGACCCAGTCACCCTTCACACCAAGGGCTATAAAGCGGAATGTTTGGCCAGAGCTGACCTTACATGTGGCAATGTGTGGCACATGGTTCTCACTTTGTTTCTCATGCTGCTACAATTTATAATTAGGGGAATCATCGGGAATCAAATGGAATCAACATGTAGCCCAATCCATCTAAAGGACCTTGACTCCATCCCAACAAAGCTCACATGCTTGGCGGGCAATCTCAGAAAAGAGGTCATCGGTGGTCTCTTCCTTCCAATACAGCTTTGAGCGGATGCAAGTCAGCAGCAGCCGGGTAGTGAATGAATGCCTTGCTGCATGTGTTTTTCCAAAAAAATACTGGAGTACACCAAAGAGCCATCAAAATCAAAAAGGAAAGGGTTGACACACAATGGCAAGGTCCAAGGCACGACGAATCATTGCATTCACTCATTCCCTTGTGAGAGACAAAGGGCTGGAATGACAAAACCAGGAATGGAACACGGCTTGATCCACGTCCTTCATCCCCATGAAACACATAGGGGATAAGGAACCTGGTGTCCAGGTCACTTGAGAACACCGGGTGCCCAGGATTGATGTCCTTGTAGACACGCCAAAAGTCATATAGAAGCCTTTGCCACCCGTTCACTTCTTCCAGAGTGTGTCCACCCAAAAGTATGTGGGGGAAGTTTTCCAGCAAAAAGCTCACCCAGGTCTGCATTGTAATGAATGGCCACCAAGCCTTGTACTCCCCCAGTGGCTTCATCCGGCGAATGGAGATTTGAGCACAGCTGATCTCCAGTGGTAAACACACCCCACTTTTTTCTATCAGGGTGTGCAGCATTCTGCAAGCATTCTTTTGACTCTTGTAGATCTTGGACAGCTTCTCCAAGGTGTCATGATATCCTTTCAAGTTTATACTCTCAAAGCAATCAAAGGCACCCCCGAAACACACACACACACACATATACCCAACAAACCATAACATAGAAGCTTGGAGGAAACACAACCAAATAGTGCTAATCCAACAAAAGTGTCTAGTCTTTCGAAGTCTGCACATCATTTCAGCTATTTTGCCAGAGCGGTGTGCAGATTCAGCCTCAGGGCCAACTCAACTTGCCCCTCCAGCCACAGACACAACACCCAGCTCCAGGGGTTCAGACTCTCCAAAAAATGGTCTTCAGACATCCAAACACTTTACTTTAGCTCATCCAAGGTTCTCCAATCAGATAGTCTGCCATAACCTCTTTAGCCAGGTCATCCGCAAGCTGGGCATCAAGGTCAGCATCTTCAAGGCGTAGACCAAGTCCAGGGCCTGCCCAATCTCCAACAGGTTTCTCTAGAAATTAGTGGGCACATGTTACCAAGCCTTCCCTGAAATGCAGCTGTTCATCTTGACCTGGCAAAGTCTGAGTTGGGGTTTGCACACCACACACCCCGAAAGAATCAAAAAGAGCCATGTGGGCCATGCACTTGAAAGTTTAAAGAAGGCACAGTGTATTAGAGCCTTTTCACACTGCAGCTACTGCTCTTGAGTCTTCAGTGGATCATAGACACACCAGCGGGCAACAGGACAGTCGCAAAAATCCCGAGCCACTAACACATGTTGCTCTATGCTGGGGGCATGCGATCCATGGTAAATCAGCACTTCAAAATTGTAGCTCCAATCTTGGAGACCTACGCTTTACGCTTCCTCCTCTTTCGGGGAGCTTCGGGTTCCTCAGTTTCAGCTGCCTCTTCAGGCTCCTCTTTTGCAGCTGGTGCTGGTTTGGCCTTGGCTTTCTTAGCTGGCGCCTTGGGCTTCACGGTCTTGGGCGGCTTGACAGCCCTGGCAGGAGGAGGTAAGTTGCATATGGGCCTGACAATTCTACAACTGAAGGTTTATGCATGGCATGTAGTTAAAGTGCAACTGACCTTGCACGCAGCATGATGTTGTTCAGCCCAACATCCACTTTTGCCAGGGCGACAAACTTGCCAGCAATCTGGTGTTTCAATTTCCTAGGTCACACACCCCAAAACTTCACAGCTTCTAAAATCTAGAAGTATGAGTCCCCTGCGAATCCGGATGTGTCACATCACAGGTGTCAGCCTGCACCTTTAAGATTTCATCATAAGCAGCACGGAACTCATTCATCTTCCCCTCCAGCTCAGACATGATCCTGGGTCAACTGTTTGGTTTGTAAATTCTTGAGTTGGGTGACACAATCTTGAACTAAGAAATCAACTTTCCAGCTCGATCCGTTCCGATCTTGCTCAACTTCTCCTAGAAGCTTTCAAGTTGTGAGTGGAAAAGCTCACAGCAGTTCCTACGAATTCTATGGAAGCACTCAAGACTCCTTGGCATCTTCACACTTGTCAAGCTTGCGACCCCCTACTTCGACATACGTTGGAATCAGGCCTCAAACTAGCACAAGCAACAGTTCAGAAACCAGTGGGAGATATATCCAACAAATTCCAAGCAAAGGGCTGAGGGGGCAATGTCCACTCTGAAGAACAGGAAAGCCATCACGCTTGCCAGGAAGATTCCCCGGTTCTTGAAGTGTGCCGTCAGCACGCTCCAACCTCAAAAAAAATCCACCAACCTATCACCCCACCATCCCATGGTTGATCGATAAACTAAGTTCAGGGACAGGGCTTGGTCCACAGTGGGTCCACCAGTGAAGATGTTTCCAAAATCCTCACCCCAAAAAGAGTGTCAGCATAGGATATACAGTATCACAAAAGCACTGGGTCCTCTACATCCGCATCGCAGCTTGCTCTGGTCGAAGAACGCTCCATATCCGAATGGGAAAAAGTTTCCGTTGTTGGTATGCGATACTCTTCAGCACCATGTACTGGGTTTTTACGATACAAGTTGCGTGCTTTGGCCCAGGCTTTGGCATTTCTGATCATTGTCCTAAGTTGGGGAAGACTTCAACCCTCCACTAGGCTACAAACAAACTGCATGCTGTCAGGACTGACTTAGGCACTTAGGCATGCACTCATCCCAACCAGGAAGTAAAGCCATAGAGGCTTCAG